TTCTCACGTTTGCGTGGGTCGCAGGTATAGTCATTGTCTAATCCTTGCCTGGATGAGAGACCCTATCCGAATGGCACAGGTCTATTATCAGCAAGCAACATTAAACATGCAGACGTGGACATGTTCGAATTCGGGCATGGGTAAGTAGTGGTGGTAGTGGCAGAGGTGGTCATCGTATATTGGATTATTTGTGCTGATAGTTGTTAAAAGCATTGGCACTGTCATCATTGTCACTTGCCGACCTCGTCCTTGCCATGGTCTTCGACGTCGTCGCTGTTCTCGTCGCCGCCTTCGTGGTGCTGGTGCTTTCGCTGGTGCCGCTCTTCGTGATGACAGCGGTGGTGGTGCTGCCGCTGCCGCTGCCATTGCTGCTCCCGCTGCTGCTCCCCCCGCTGCTGCTGCTGCTGCTGCTGCTGCTGCTGCTGCTAGTACTCATACTCATTGTCGACTTCTCATCGTTGGAGTAGTAGCATTGGCGGTAGTGACAGGTTACAGCTACCTTATCGTGGTGGGACGTTGTTGTGCTAGCAAGTACGCTGCTATTCAGCAAGAGCTAACGGGTCTCTATAAGATCCCCTTCAGGCCCGTAAGGAAAGCAGATAATCTGGGGCCCGTTCATATCGGCTTCCACTAGGATAGTTATTTCCAGTTGCTGCTACATCAGTGGCAAAAACAGCTCACGTAGTACCTTCTGCGGGGGTTCTGATTTGCTTTTTATATCAAGACTGGAAAAGCGCATTTCACTTAATAGAAGTAGCATTTCTTAAATCATGGAAGATTGACGGACACGCTCATTGCACTCCTGAATCTTCTAAACACATACACCTGAACCCACCAGCAATGGCGGAGGCATGGTGCTGGCTTTGAGCAACCAGGAGACTTGGGTAGAATTCGCTGCTTCCATGTGAGCTATAGTCTAAACTCCTAAATGGGGTTATATCGGGGACTCTTACGGGGCTTATTAACGGGGATACTGGGAGTTTAGACTACAGCTCATGTCATTCGCTCGTTTTCGAGAAAGGGGTGGCCTTGTCTACCCCGAACTGTGGGAATTTAGACGTCCAGAAGAGGAATGCAGCATTTTGAAGTGTCCTTTGTGAGATATAGGACCTTGGTTGTAGCTTTGTCCTGGGCACTGAATAAAACCTAGGACTGAGGAGGACCCCCCACCCTGTAATAGTGGTATAATAGGAATATAAGAGGACCCTGATATAATCCTTACTTTTCCTTATAGTCACTATTACTGGGTGGGGGGTCTACCTAACCTAGGACGTGGACTTGTTAGAGCCCGTCCCAGGAATGCAATACGCGCTATGCCGACCAGATTACCGATGACATGCTCTGCGCCCAGGGCACCTCCGCAACTGGAATCTAGGTCTTCTTTGTTTAGGGTTCAGGGTTTAGGGTTAAGCTTCAAGTCAGGCGAAGACTTGAGGTTCGGATCGTAGCATTTCTACAGCTTTTGGTTCTGAAGTTTGCAAGAGATTTGTATGGCTTGTTAAAATTCCTGAGCCATATGCCTTCAAGTTGAAACCCCTAAACTGGAAACGTTTTTGTTGAGGCTGCTTGTCCACGGCTGAGGGTCTACGAGCTGATTAGGGCAAAGATTTCCGGAACTTGGGAGGCGCAAAAGATTAGGCGATGGACAGTTTCCTAAGGGTCCAAGTACCCAATAATTAGGTACTTGATATTTGGTTAATAGTAGTTATAGTATAGGGTTTGGGTAAGTATATGATTACTAGGTACTTGGACCCTTAGGCGTTGGGGGCTTAGTGCATGGCAGCAAGGAACATATCATTTTGGGACGGTCAAAGAGCGCACAAGCTCTCAGCTGTCAGCGCCTGTTCAAGAACAAATGGGATTTTGAAGCGTTAAAGCCAAACCCACCCTACGCCATGTAAGACCAACGCACGGTATCGTCCTCCGGAGTCCTGCTCCCCCAACTCCCATGTACTAAACCTAAGCATTGAGTATTGAGCATGGAAGTTCCCTAGGACCTTTTTACTTGTTCCAATCTGTACAGAAGTCAGTTTCTAGTTTACCTTGGCTAGCATCGGAAGATCCCGGAAGGCCAACCCAGAAGTTGCTTCTTCCTTGGCCTCTAACCCTGGACCGTAGACTCAAAGCTGGATGTTGTGAGCCCAAGATCTCAACACTCTAAACCCCAGACTTGGCCCTAGACGCCAAGTTCAAGAATGATCCAGGAATCGTGGATGCATGCCAGGGCGACAGCGGCGGCCCTCTCGTCTGTCCGGCTGGAGATGGCGACTTGTCTTTGTCTGCATTCATGCTAGCCGCTGTCAATTAGGATTGTGAGCGCGGGCCTGATCCAAACATTTTTGCCGAAAAACATGTCCGCCCCTGTCCTCTAGTTAGAAGAAGTAGTCTTGACTGCGATGCGCGCGAGTTTGTAAATTTCCATCGTAAACTTACCGAATGGGCCGCGGAGGTTGTGAAATCTATCATTGATTCCACCGCGCATCATGTACAGCATGAGGCAGCAGATGTAATTAGCAGAGGTGTTAAGAAGATGTGACCTTCTTTGGGCGGCATGCATCTGTTGAGGAAGTATTCGTGAGGCTTACCAGTAACCGGGCGAGAAAGCAGCTTCTTTGACAAGTCCATCTAAACAACAAGTGGTGTGAAGCAGCAGTAAGATGCTACAAGTAGTACGTGTCTTGGCTGTACTTCAATAAACCTTTATAGCTTGAGCCGTCTGGCATGGATCTCAAATGGTCCTGAGTAGCTCCAAATCTGAGCACCAAAAAATAGGCGATAGAGGAACGTTTATAATGAGATAAGCAAAAACTCTTGGAAATCGACCGGCAGCAACTTCCAAAAAGTGATTCCCACTCTGCGCGCGGAAGCTCCTGGAAGTTTTCGCGGAAGCACTTCGCTTGCGGAAGCTCTTGCGGAAGCTAATTTTTAGTTTTGGATGGAGAACAGCGAAGACTAGAAATCCCTTTCACAGAGTCTTAAGGCCTTAAACGAACTCGCAACCTTACATCCTGAACCCGCTACGGCCAAGGCCGCTACATTCTGCACGGAGCCACATCCTGGGGCCACGGTTGCTGGGCCGTCTTTGAACATGTTGTGGCTTTTGTGTTCGGGCTTGACAGAGATAGCTGGGGAGGCCTTGTCAAGGAGTATGTAGAGGTCCTGTTGAGAGACTTCCATGTCGCTGCAGACTGGTGAGGTCACAGAGCCTAAGGGTGGGTAATGGCCGCATGGGTCTCTTCAGGGATTTGTTCGGTATAATGCCCTCCCCCTAATGTTAATACTAGGAGGGGTGGGGGTTTAATATTAGGGGGAGGGGATTAGAGATTGTGCAAGATGATTTGCCCAGGTTGTGCAGATTCAAATTACCCTGGCATTTGGGCGCGAATTTCCTCCATCTTGCCATGGATCGAGCAGCACACAGGCCGCGGCTGTGTACAGATGCTTGCAAGATGAGAGAGTTTTGCAGAACTAGCCTCTAGTGAATCTTTTTTGGTGGGCCACTTTTTTGAGAAACCTCAATGTATGTTTGGAGTTGAGGCGGGATTTTGTGGTGAGGGCGCCAATAGCCTGGAATCATCTGTCAAGGTCCCGTTGAGTACGGCGATAGTACGGCGGTTTCTCCATGAGTTGGGAGTTCCTTTTGATTCCTTTCCGAAACCCAAGTATAGAGAGTACAACAGCTATCTAGACAGTTCAGTATTTGGGGTTCTAGCAACAAACAGTGCCAGCACGCTGGCCCGCGACGACCACAAAGAATTCTTGAAGCCTTGCTTAGCTTGAGGCGGCCTTGCGCTGGGCTGCTAATAAGCATTTCCACATCTTGCATGTTTTGCATCATTTGTTGCATGACTTCTGCCCCGTATCTACCACAGTCATGATATTAAGTGCATTGTTTGCAGTGAAGGCCAGCACATCAGCAACGCGTGTATCTGAAGCATAGCAGCTAGCAAGCGCGCGGACCCCAGAAGGGATTCATGAATTTGAGAAGCCCCTCATAGAAGCTAGGTTGGGGCACGCCGAAATGATTGCCATGCAGTATGGATACCTCTAGTTTCTCGGTATACCTACATTGCATAGAAGTGATAACTAACATATCCTGATCAGGCATCGTGCCGCAGACAGGAGAGGAGGGGAATCTGACGCACAATATCAGCACCTGGGTTGTTTTAGCAGCATTTGTTGTTCGTTAGGTGGGAGTTGCCCTGTTGAATCTTTACCTGGGATCCCCAGTATCCTTTAGCAATCTACAGATATACCTCGGGTTTAAGAAGGGGATGTTGGGAACCCCAACCCTTAGATGTATAACAATAACAGGGTCCTAATTTGGGGGGGGGTTGGGTTACGAGCGCCTTCTTATTTGGGTTGTTCTCAACATTATGGGCCCCTTTGGGCTATGGATTATAGTACGGCACCTAATATTTGGGGGTACCCTGACTCTTAAACCCTCAACCCTAAACCCTGAACCCTATCCAATTTGTCTATGATCACGGTATGGGCTCAGGCAGCGCCATTCCACAGTCTGCCACGCACTTGCTTGTGTTCACCTCCATGCATCTGGATCAGCCTTGGGCCATAGTCCCCCTTAAGTAGATAGAATATGGCTTTGGGCATATTATAATAAGATCCCTGTATATTCCATATTGTATCTACTTAAGGGGGACTATAGCTTTTCTTGCTTTTAGTGTGGAGCATTGAAACCCCTGATGCTAGAGCCCTAAACTCTAATCCCTATGATGGCCTTATATTCTAAAGCCAACCAAGTTAAGCTCTAAACGTGCTGCGTATTTAAGCCCTAAACGTGCCTTGAGTCCTGAAGGCTCTAAGCCCTGACCCCCCCTACACGTGAAGCCCTAAACCCGAAACCCACCATGAGCCCTAAATGGCTACACCCCAAACCCTGTAGACGTTGCCCTGAACATTTTAAGTATCCCGAAAGCCCTAACGACCCTTCAAGCTTCAAGGGTCCCTACACATGCTTTTACTTCGAGTCAACCACCCAGGCATGGGGCTGAGATGACCACCGGCATCAGCATTCCTGTTGCTCGCTGAAGAATCGAGTGCCCCCCATAATGATGAACCTCCACTCACCCTCGAGAGGTTATATGGGGGTACCTTGGGGAATGGAAAGAAAATAAGAAGAATAAGCTTTCCCAGCCCCCGCCCCCAATATACTAACTGTTCTTCTCATTACATGATGGTAGTGTATATGTGGTATTTATTATTCGGGTGGTTGGGCGGGTAGGTGGGGTAGGTGCGTTACTGCGACAATATTTTTAGGGGAAGGGGGTTACAATTTGAGATTTCCGATGATCGTGTCGGCGCCCCCTCATACACCCGAGAACGGTGTAGTCCTTGTGATAAAGGCCTTGAAAAGGCACCCCTGAGTATTGTAAACCCCAATTTGAAAGTGTGTTCAATACTTCAAGGTCAAATGGGCAGTTGTTTGGCTCCATAGCATTCATTGCCCCACTTTAGCTTATCAATCTAGTTATCTTGATTGTCACCTTTCGTAAACCATCCCTGAACCTTGAAGTACGTACAAGTTCTACAAACCACAAACACCATATACCATACACCCTAATCCTGAACCCTTTGAACCATATGAGCCGTGCATGCGTTGCAAATCCTTTCTAGCCGATGAAGCGTCTAAGCCTGATCAACCCAATGACTAACAAACCTTCCAAACCACATACACCCTTCAAGCCCTCTAGAGTCCCAACAACTAGACAGAGCAGGGGATTGCTCAAGATCCCCACATACCCCATATTCTGTCTAGATAAGGGGCACTTTACACCTTAAACCCTAAACCTTGGGTACTGCCCCCCTCAGTAACAGGTGGAGAATAGTTAAAATATGGTTTTTTATAGCCCTTAATAGCACCCCTAATATAGACTGTCACTGGGGGGGGGGGCAGTACCCAACCTAAACCCTAAAGCAACAGTTCGAGGTGGTGGATTTTGCTCCAACTTCTACGGCACCTGCCTCAATTGCTTTCACGGACACAGATCCTTCGCCCGGTGAGCTGGGAGGTACCATCACAGTTGCTTAGTGGAATGGAAGAAAATCAAACCTGCTGTATAAGTACAGGGATATTCTGCGGGGATTATACAGGGAGATTCTAGGGATATTGCTGTTAACTGGGGCTCAGGGTGTAGGGCTTAAGGTCTGTTAGGCAAAGCAAGAAGTGGAAGACACTGAGTATTATCGGAGGTATTGGGGCTTACTTAGGGGCTCCTATAGGGATCGGCCTCCTCCATGCCTTTCCACCAGAAAGGTTGGCCGAGCAGCAGATGAGTCGCAAGTCACCCACTATGCCATCTATTGGGGATCTTCAGAGCAGGTCACCTTGGAGCCTTTTGTGCAGGTGCCCAAGGGCTCTGGAGGCGGCTCTTTAGAGACTGGCCTGAAGTTAGGGAATGTAAGAAATAGATTATCACAACACATGGGCATCAAAGTAGATGGTAGGGTTTCCTCGTAATGGTTGACCTAGTCGAAGTTCTGCAGCAACCCAGGAGATCCCAGTGCCGGCCAACACACCACAGCCTTCAGGCGCCACGCACTTCCTAGCGTTCGTGGTTGCTGCCAGCGGCCAGGGCTACAACAGCGTGGCGGTCCAGGTCAGGGATACGGACGAATCCCGTGCACCAGGAGGCCTCAGCTTCCAGGACACGGATCCGGGAGCCATGACCGTGGGTGGCATTGTGACAATTCAGCGGGCAGCCAGCCAGACAGGAGTCACGGCCTACAATTTGTATTGGAGTACTGGCTCCTGCTCCACCCTCGGAGGGCAGATTGTAAGCGTGCCAGTTGCACGGACGAGCATCGCCCCCTACTGCTTCTCAGGAAATGCTTGCGATAGCATCACAATACTACAAGAAGGTGTTGGGGTGTATGTGATCTCTCGAGGCATGAGCGGCTACAGGAACGATGAGCACGCGAGCTTGTACCTGGAAGGGCCAGGCAGAATCCGTTTCTCCCGCTTTGGGACGGAGTCCGGCTACGACATCCTGACTATCGATGGGCTGCCACATTCTGGCAGCAGTGTGCCAGCAGATGTTCAGGTTGGGGCCGGCCAGAAGCAAGTCGACTGGTTTTCGGACTTCAGCGTGACCAGCAGTGGCTGGGTTTTCACCTTCGAGTCAGAAGGGAGCTTTGGAGATGTGGCCTACAACCTGCCTGACGGCACCTTCCTGCCGAGCTCCGCCACTGAGATGATGGTCTTCTCCGTGAGTGACGGTTCGGAATACAGGGCGGCATGTGCTTCCACAGCAGTGTCAGATTTCGCTCCCCCCAACAACCCACCTCAGGAGTTGTGGTTCATGGACACCGATCCGGCTGCTGGAAGTGTTGGTGGTGACCTAATCATCCTTCAGGCTCGAAATCACACCGCCCTGGAGGCTTACCATGTCTACTGGGGATCCAACTCGACCCATCCATTGCCCGACGTCCCCATGGTTGCCTCCGTGGCTGCCGGCACAGCTGGAACCAACCTCACCTTCACCATCGCAAGTGGGACCTCCTTGCCAACTAACGCCAGCCACCTCATTGTCTTTTCCTCATCAAGCAGTGGAGAGTCCCGCCGGGCCCTCAGGACTTATATACTGACGTTAGTCATTCCATGGACCCTGAATTATGGTTTTGCACGAACAGCCCAGCCGAGGTACGGCCGCAAGTGTGGTGGTGCTTGACTACGAGCCAGCTGAAGATGCCGCCACATCTGTTGCCTTTGTGGACATTGACCCAACAGCAGGGACCATCGCCGGCCAAGCCTTCATCGGCCGCGCCACGGACGAGTCCTCTGTGGACTTCTACAATCTTTACTTCTCGAGAGGCAGCACTCCGCTGGCGCTTATCACATCCGTCCCTGCACCGACGCTTGCAGTCCTGCCCTCAGCAACCTGTGACATTGGCTTTGCAACAGCGTTGAGAATCCCTCTGCCCCGACTTCCTCATTGATACATGTATCAGCGTAGCGCAAAGTTTGTTCGCGCCATGGGTAGTAAGAGGATAAAGAGGTGATTGTGATACTCCTCAGGAGCTGCAACAACACAGTTTTGGCCGAGGCCAGGCCAACATGCTCCGGCACCAGCTGTTCGCAGATCGAGATCAGGCCGCTACTTACCAAAGCGGATTTGCCGGTCTGAAGGTAATCATCGGCCCTCGCGGAGTGAGGGGTTTTGAAGGCCTTTGCAGACAGAGCATTGGTCGTAGATATACATGAGCCATTTTTGGGCAGCAGGTTTTTCGCATCATTGGGTTGGGTTTTCCTTGAATGCATCAGTTTTGTAGCTTCAGGGGGTTAGGTGCCGGTCAGCGACTGCAGTTCGTGGTGGGGTTACTTTTAAGGGAAGAAGAAGGTTAAGTTCCCTATGTCCAACAATTTCCCAAACCCCTGAAGGCCCTGAACCCTAAACCCTAAACCGCCTCCTCTCCAGGTCGGTAGCTGGTGGTATCGCCTATGAGGTCGCCCGAGGAACCACGTACGATAACAACGAGATGGCCAGTATTGCTGTGACGGGTCCAGGCGCCAGTTGGCGTGACCACCGCCCCGCTAGGGACAAAGTGACAACCCTCCCAGTCCTCCTCATAGCAAATGTTCCCTCAACATGGAATGGTACTGTCTTGGAAGACCTTTTCTCTTCTGTTCGTGGGTCCAGATCCTAAACCCACAAAGCCCTAAACGCCAGGCACTTTGAAGTTCACCTTCTTCCATACGGAGCAGGGCTACGACTTCCTCACCATCATGGGGAACGTTTCTGGGTCATTGTCAGGAAAACATTCCGTGGTCCATTGTATTTAGGATTTGGGCTTTAGAGCGTGACGGGTTTAGCATCTCGGGTGGGTAGTTACGGGAGAGAGAGAGAGAGAGAGAGAGATCCCCAGAGCTCGAATGAAAGAAAAAAAAGAAAACACAGACACACACACATATATATATATATATACTTATCTCGCCTCATTGAACAAAGCGTGCAATCAACGTGCTCGTTCCAACAATCTTATTCATCGTAGATAAATGTGCTTCCAAAGCTGTGACACAGGCCTACTCTGGCAGTACCATGCCAGCCGACATAGCTATCCCGTCCGGCACCTCGGAGATTGTCTGGCGGTCGGACGGTTCCGTGACCACCGGCGGCTGGATCTTCCGGTTGCCTGGACCTTTCCTGAAGGGTCCAAGTATTCCAATAGTAGATAATCTGGGCCCAAATGGGTTCCTACGTGGGCCCTAGGGTTTCTTGGACACTTCCGGAATCACCTTGGAAGACCTGTTTTCTAATGTAAGGAGCCGGGAAAAGGAAAAGCAAACCCCTTCTCGGGCCTGAGACACAACAGTTGAGGTTGGAGTCGGGAGCCAGTGACACCCTCGAGACGCAAGTGAGCCCCACAGCCATTCCATCTTCTGCAGACAGCTTGCTGGTCTTGACAGCCTCGGAGGGTGGAGAGATGGCAACCGGAATCTTCACCTCGTTGGCCGACTACAACCCTCCGAGCATTGTCCCATTATCTTTGCAGTGTGCAGACACGGACCCAACCATCGGCGTCTACAGCGGCTTCTGCAACGTGCGAAGGCCAGAGTCAGAAGGTGGAGTTACGGCCTACGAGATCTTCTGGGGCAGAAATGCTACTCACACTCTCCCCGGAGCTTCATCGCTTGGCCGAGCAGAGTTGAACGCATCCTCAGGGGAGCTCGTGACAGCCATCATCGAAACTACTTCGATCAACCCAGCCGCAACGCACCTCGTTGCCCTCGCTGCAGGCCCAGGCGGTGTCGAGGACTTCAAGTATACAGCAGATTTGTCAAAGTTTCGCCCAGGTAGGATTTTCAAGCCAAGAAGAAAATATGTTGAGTTTTTTCCAGGGCCGCTAGAAATCTCAGGTGTGGCTCCGTTTGGCATCGGAGCCCCTGTGATGGATAACTCAGGCCTGACCCTGAATCCTGGCAGCCTCAACGTGGTGGCTACGCCAGGCTCTACCTCATCAAACAGCATCCTGTTAGCCACATGAAGGGTTCAGGATACATACTAGGGGCGTTTAGTTCTTTTGGTTTGGCTTAAGACACTTTTTTGGGGGGGGGAGGGTGGGTGGGTGGGTGCGTTGCAGCTCAGCAGTTAGGCATCACAATCACCAGCGACGGCTCTGAGGACATCACCCTGCACGTGGGCCTGGTCTTCGAGGTGCTTGGGACTCTTTCAGATCAGCTGGGGCCCCCAAACCGGTAATAATCTTCCCCTACGAATATTAAGCCCCCCCACCCTTCTGAATATCAAATATTCCCAATATATTCTAAGCCTATGCCACAATGGGATTGTCTGATATTGTTAGGGCCCATTGGGAAGCTGCCCTTAGCATTTGAGAAGAGGCCCCAGGGTGGTCTATCTTGGCCCCTATAAACTCAAGTACTTAGTTTACAGCCCGGTCGTGTAAGCTACACAAGCTTCCTTTAGAGGTAGGCAATCCGGAAACCGTGATAAACGCAGGGTCCCTCACGGGTGAGTGTAGAAGTATGCACATAGCTGGGGTGCAGGTTTTGATGGAACCCCAAACCTCTAGTCTGGTTTTCCCTGAGGATGACTCGGCACAGGGAGCCCTCAGCGAAGCTGCATCCCTCAGCGCTCCAGGCACTCAATGTACGAAGGGTTTAGGAGTTAGGGTGTAGGGCTCTACTTACGGGGGGTGAGGAGGGAATCAGGCTATATATTACATAGGAATATGGGGATAATTTTCCGGTATTCCCGAGGAACCACCGGTAAGGCTAGGGGTAACAGGTCAGGGCTCAGGGCGAGCCCTGGGGTCAGGGTTTAGGGTTTTTACTGTGTCAAGGCCTGAGCGGCTAGGGTTCAGTTCAAAGTCTGCAGATTTTAGAATGCTGTTTATCAGCTTGAGCACAGTAATCCCTGACCCTTACGTACACCATCAATGTCTACTCATGCAGTCGCGCTGCACCATAATCCGTTCGTTGATGGACTGTGTTCAAGAGCGTGCAAATGCTAATCCTGTGGTGAGTACAGAATGGATGGCCCCCTGTTGTGGTCCCGACCCTACATTCCGTTCCGTCCTTCCGTAACCTCAGCCCTACGACAGAACATGTTGCATGTTCTTTCCCGTAAGCCCTATAAACCCCAAACCCCTACCCCTAAACCCGAAGCCCCTAAGCCCTAAACCCTGAACCCTAAACCCCTAAACCCCTAAACCCTAAACCCTAGACCCCTAAACCCTAAAGCCTGAACCCCCTTCATTCTGTTGAGGCACTGCCTCGGCTCAATCCGTGGGCTACACGTTGCCAACGGTCTGCCAGTCTTCGGCTGATCTGCCCCTCGCAGGTAAGAAGCGGTTGCTGTACAAGACGAAGTCCAAGAAGCTTCTGGGTGGCGCTGGAAAAGGGGATTTAGGGATATAGGGGTTTAGGCTTTAAGGGTTTCGTTTGCTTTAGTACTGCAATCTCCCTTGTATGAAGTGGCTTTTGCGAGCCTCAAGACCTGAACAAGGCTGGACGCAACGGGCAGGCGACTGCATGCAAGGCGTGTGGAGGCAAAGCATGGTGTAAAGATCAAAGCTTTCGAGCGCTTGGGTGGCATTTCGTATGCAGAGATGAAGAATGCATCGGTGGGGCAGTTCTGCCAGATGTTCGTCGATTTGGAGAACGATCCTGCTGTGGAGTTTGTGGAGGAGGATATGACGTGGGTCGCTTTAGGCGGCAAGCCCAAAGTGGAGGACATGCTCTTCCCTCCTCCAACACTTCAGCCGGAGCCGGGGTCCAAGCTACATGGTCGAATGCACCGCCGACAGGGTGTTTGCAGCAGCTGCAGCGCCCGCACGGAAGGGCATCCGAATGACGGAGACTTCGATGAACTCTGGGGCATGCACCAGGCGACGGGCAGGATGTTTTCTGCATGTCGCGAGGGGTGTAGCGGGGATCTAGCACGTTGTCAGAATGATCACATGCTTTCTGTCGTAAAGCACTTTGCAACAGCACCTCTGAGTGCATTGAGGTGAATGATGTGGACATCGATGCTCCGGAGGCCTGGGGCATACACCAAGGATTGAACGGAAAGGTGGTCATAGCCGTCATTGACACGGGTGTGGATTACAACCACGAGGATCTTCGCAATCAGATGTGGGTCAATTCTGGCGAGATTCCCGGGGATGGCATAGACAACGACAACAACGGCTACGTAGATGATGCCTCAGGGTTTCATATAGCTGGTCAAGATTTCTGAGTTTACGTTGTTGAAAAGATTTGATAGGGATGACAGCCCAGCAAACATGACAAGCAAGCCTTGATACTCATGCCCGGGGGAATCATAGGTCTATGGCTATGATTTCTATTCCGACAGCGGGGATCCCATGGACTCGAACGGCCACGGAACCCACTGTGCGGGCACAATCGGTGCAGAAGCAGGTAATTCCGTCGGAGTTGCTGGGTTGCTGTTAAGGAACTTAAATTAAGTTACTATAATGGGTATTTATAGTAAATAATAGGGTTTCCCCTATATATATATATGTATTTTTTTTAAGTTCCTTAACAGCAACCCAGGTTGCTGGTGTCACCTGGAAACCCCAGATGATGGCCTTAAAGTTCCTTGGGGCCGGCGGGGGCAGCACCAGTGATGCTATCCGCGCCGTGGACTATGCCGTAATGATGGGTGCCCAGATCAGCTCTAACTCCTGGGGAGGTGGCTGGGTTGCTGTTAAGGAACTTACAAAATGTACATATATATATATACTGTATATATATATATAGAAAAATTACAGAGTGTTTCTAATATAGTGGCTTGAATTAAGGCGTTTAACAGCTAATGAGTATATATATATATATAGTAAGTTATAGGGTTTCCCCAATACCGTGACATAGATTTAAGGTCCTTAACTTGCAACCCAGGTGGTGGCTACTCCCAGGCCTTGGTGGATGCTATCGATGCAGCTGCAGAGGCGAACCACCTCTTCATTGTGGCTGCTACTGGGTTGCTGTTACCATAATGGGTATGGGTATGTATACATATATATATATAGACATACCCATAAATATCTACACATATATATATATACATATATATATATATATACAGAGTGATTAATAGGGGCTCCCCAGCATAGTAAGTTGAAATAGGTTCCTTAACAGTCACCCAGGCTGGGAATGATGGGAGGGACAACGAGATCACCCCAACCTACCCATGCAACTACGATCGGCCCAACATGATCTGCGTGGCGTCTACAGACAGCGCAAACGATATCTCCAGCTTCTCGAATTGGGGTACTACTGTTGTGCACATTGCCGCGCCCGGAACCAGAATCTACAGCACCTACCCCAACAACCAGTATGAATTCTTGTCGGGCACGTCCATGGCGACGCCACATGTGTCTGGTGTGGCAGCCCTTGTGCTTGACTACGTGGACACTTTGACTTGGCAAGAGCTTCGAAACATCATCCTGACCTCGGGGGTAAAGTTTTCGAAGTTTGACGCCAAGGTGTCCACCGGTGCCTTGCTGAACGCCCACGGTGCACTTCAGATGGCAAGTCAGTTTGCCTGGGCTCGGGTGACCGGCCCTGCGGCTTCTGGAAGCATCACAGTGCCAGCTAAAGGCTCAGCAACCATCTCCGTAGAGCTCGGGAATGAGAGGATGGAGGCAGCGGGAGTTAGGCTTATAATCAGTCAGAACAATTTTGAACCAACTGTAGGTTCCTGATCCCTTGAAGGAAGGAGAATATCGGGTGGCTTTGAGGATCTGGAAGCAGGTGGACAGCATCCTCTACTCGCGATTGGTGCCGATCATTTTCACCTTGCACCGCTTCGGGTCTGTGCCGCAGGCAGTAGTTTCCCAGAATTCTACCCTCCCAAACCCGAAGCCCTAAACATCCCCCCCCGGCCCCCCGGTATCCAGCCTGCATGCAATCCCTGTCCCCTACGGGTATCCCTGTTTTCAGACCCTTTGCAGGTGGGTTCGGGAGGCATAGAGTTCCAAGACACGGACGCCAGGCGGGATGTGATTGCGGGTGCCCTTACCATCACCAGGGCGACGCCCCAACAGGAAGAGACCTTCTCCCAGTATCACATCTTCTGGGCAAACTCCATGCAGCAGAGGACTAGCGACACGCCACTGGCAACTTTGGATACCGGGAATGTGCTTCTGGACAACTTTGCCTTCTTCGACAATGCCTTCTGGTTCCCCCCAGACTCCGACACCGCCGGGGCGAGCTGGTCTGTGTCAAGTGGTGCAGCCGTTTTCTCAGGCTCCTACGACTCTTGGGCTTAATGTCAGGGGGGGTTAGTAAGTAGGTGAATGGGGATAACTAAGGTGACTACATGAATTTTGGGGGTCAGTCCATAGAGTGCTTTTTTCCCTGTGCAAAGGTCTTCTTCCAGTGTGTCTCTATCAATCATACAGACCATTCCTGCGCTTCACCCTTTCTATGGAATAGCTACCCAAAACTATCCCTGAAATTGGAGGCTGACTTCCCATACCCTGCAAAGTCGATCCCTGTCAAGGACTCCTAAACACCACCTAAACTGGGGGGCCGTAACGGCCAAAAAGTGCCCAAGTAGCTTATAATGTAATTTGGGCCCAGGCCAGTTCTTATACAGGCGGTGTGAGCTTTTATGTTGTTTGGGTACTTGCACCCTCAGGGTAGAACTGAAACCTTAAACCCTCTCCTGGACCCTATGACTTTGGGTATCGCCTCCACCCAGTAACAGTTCGAAAACAAATAGAGTATGAATATATAAAGCCTGAACATAGGCCCCATTGTAGCCAGTTACTGGGTAGGGCAGTACCTGGACCCCAAAAGTAGGTAAAATGATAGCCCTAAATAGTTAAAATATAGCCTAAAGGCAATTATTCTACATACTTCTGGGGTTCAGGTAGTCTTTTTACTTAGGACAGCTCGCACTTGACCATGGCGCGGCGGTTTGCTCCGCCTTTCACCATGAAGGCCAAGGTACGAAAGACTGCCGGAGCTTTAGCGCACATGGTCATTCAGGCGGGATGGAAGTTATAGGGCTTTGCAGATTTAATGTAGGGGCCTAACTACCAAGTAGAATAGTGGAGAATCAAACGGAAGATAAATCAACAACGAAAAACACCGAATTTATGTTATAGTGTGCTTGGGGATTGTATGTTGGTTGGGTTTGGGGCTTGCAGGGCTTCTGGGTAGTTGTACGAACCATGGGCTTAGGAAATGAACAAATGGTTCATGCAGGCCCCTGCACAAAATCCTCATATCTAATTACCCCACATAATTTAATGCAAGTTTCGATTTGTTTGTCCATTTGATTTTCCATTCGCTTCTCCAGTTCTCTACTGACTCGGGCCCCAAGCCCCACACCCGTAAGCCCTCAACCCCTATAAGCCCTAAACCCATGAACCCTCAACCCCTAAACCCCTAAATTCTATAAACCCTAAGCCTATACATTCCCAATAATCTGGAACGACGGAAAGGTTGGTGGAGATTCCGTCAGTCTTTTCGGTGCAGGTGGGATGGGTCCCGGTTTTGAGCTAGGGGTTTAGTGGTTTAGGGGTTAGGGGTTTTGGTGTTTAGGCATTACTGCTTCAGGGGTAACGGTTTAGGGCTTAGCATTTAGGCTTAGGGTTTTGGGGTTCGACCCTGTATAACCCTATATAAGCCAAGATACCCCACATAATCCTATATCATGTGCAGGGGGTCTTCGGGCCATGATGTTTGGATCCCAGAAGATCTTGGTCGCACCAGATGGCTCGCACTACTCGACTCCTTGCACTTTAGGAACCTGGTTCGAGGTGGCTTGAGGGTTTAGGGTTTAGGGTTTCGACATAATAACTTGTAGTTGAGTCCTCCAGGAGTCCTGTGATTCCCCAGACAGACCCTACTTGGAGGGTCATGGGCCATCGGGCTTGGTAAGCAGGTTACAAATCAAGCCGGATAACTGGAGTTACTGTAAGGCATGTAGAGTTTACAAGTATACTTGCTCAGGACTCCTGACCCCCAACGTAGTCTCTTTCAGGAAGCTCAGGTGGGTGCTTCTTAAATTTTTTCATACCCATATAAAAAACATATCAGGAGCCCCTGCAATCCTGTTATCACCCCTATATACTTCTAAGGTCCCAAGGACACCACCTTTTTTGAGAACCCCCCCCCACCCGGTGCCTTGTGATCTTCTTGAGGTCACAATCACCGTCCTGGCATCCTCCGTGACTTTTGCCGACAACCAAGGCTGCGCAGAAACTGGGTTGCTGTTAAGGAACTTAAATTAAGTTACTAAATTGGGGAAAC